TGATTAACCAAAGTGTTCTGACTTCTTCAGGTGTTCCGACATTTACAACTGATCGACCAAAGAATTCAAACTTTTATCACTGATTGACCAAAGGGTTCAGACTTCTATAACGGATTGACTAAAGCGTTCTGACTTTGACAATTGATTGACCAAAGTGTTTATACTTCTACAACTGATTGACCAAAGTGTTCTGACTTCTTCAGGTGTTCCAACATTTACAACTGATCGACCAAAGAATTCAAACTTTTATCACTGATTGACCAAACGGATCGGACTTCTATAACGGATTGACCAAAGTGTTCCGACTTTTCCAGCTGATTGACCAAAGTGTTCTGACATTTATAACTGATTGACCAAAGAATTCTGTTCTGACTTTTACATCTGATTGACTAAAGTGTTCCGACTTTGACATCTGATTGGACAAAGTGTTCCGACTTCTACAATTGATTGACCAAAGTATTTATGCTTTTACAACTGATTGAAGAAAGTGTTCCGACTTCTAAAATTGATTGTCCAAAGTGTTCCGACTTTTACATCTGATTGACCAAAGTGTTCGGACTTTTAAATCTGATCGACCAAAGTGTTCCGACTTTTACAACTAATTGAAGAAAGTGTTCCTACTTTTACAATTGATTGACCAAAGTGTTCCTACTTTTAAATCTGATTGACCAAAGTGTTCCGACTTTTACAACTAATTGAAGAAAGTGTTCCTACTTTTACAATTGATTGACCAAAGTGTTCGGACTTTTAAATCTGATCGACCAAAGTGTTCCGACTTTTACAACTAATTGAAGAAAGTGTTCCTACTTTTACAATTGATTGACCAAAGTGTTCCTACTTTTAAATCTGATTGACCAAAGTGTTCCGACTTTTACAACTAATTGAAGAAAGTGTTCCTACTTTTACAATTGATTGACCAAAGTGTTCCGACTTTGACAATTGATTGACCAAAGTATTTATGCTTTTACAACTGTTTGAAGAAAGTGTTCCGACTTCTAAAATTGATTGTCCAAAGTGTTCCAACTTTTACATCTGATTGACCAAAGTGTTCCGACTTTTACAACTAATTGAAGAAAGTGTTTCTACTTTTACAATTCATTACAAGTCGGAACACTTTGGTCAATCAGATGTAAAAGTCGGAACACTTTGGTCAATCAAATGTAAAAGTTGGAACACTTTGGTCAATCAGATGTAAACGTAGGAACACTTTCTTCAATAAGTTGTAAAAGTCGGAACACTTTCTTCAATTAGTTGTAAAAGTCGGATTACTTTTGATCAATCAGATGTTAAAGTCGGAACACCTTGGGAAATCAATTGTAAAAGTAGGAATACTTTCTTCAATCAGTCGTAAAAGTCTGACCACTTTTGTCAATCAGATGTAAACGTCGGAACACTTTGTTCAATCAGATGTAAAAGTTAGAACACTTTGCTTAATCAATTGTAAAAGTCGGAACACTTTCTTCAATCAGTTGTAAAAGTCGGATTACTTTTGATCAATCAGATGGAACACCTTGGGTAATCAATTGTAAAAGTAGGAATACTTTCTTCAATCAGTCGTAAAAGTTGGAACACTTTTGTCAATCAGATGTAAACGTCGGAACACTCTGGTCAATTAATTTTAGAAGTCTGAACATTTTCTTCAATCAGTTGTAACATTTTGGTCAATCAGATGGAAAAGTCGGAACACTTGCTTCAGTCAGTTGCTTGTGGGAGTAAACAACACTGATGTAATCTTTGATGTAACTATACATGCCTTCTTATACTTTGTGATTAAGGTTAAGGCTGCAACAGGAAGGAGGTGTTGAGAACTTGTCGGAGAACGAGAAGTCAAATGCAAGGTACAGAAAGTGCAAATGTTATAAACGATAGTTTCTCATCCACTGTACACTGTTCAACTCAACCAAATTTTGGAAGTAACTTGAAACTAGAAACTTTATTTTCAGCATTTTGTCCTCATACTTTGTCTTTTAAATGATTGTGTTGTCTTAGTGCGCCACATTTTTTATATCAGATTCACTAATGTTCCCGTTTTTGCAAAAACATGTTGTTAATGCGAAGAATTTTATTTTTTATTATTCAGAGGATTTGCTCAACTTTTATGCGCTGCAACGCGAATTGTTGGAATCTATGATTAGTAGAAATGACAAAGAGCAGACAATGGCGGAGACAGCAGCAAATCACGGCCTTAGTGTTATAGAACATGATGGTGATGGTAATTGCCTGTTCCATGCATCGGTTAACCAACTGAAGCATCATAGTTGTTGGATTTACACCAGAGCCATACGATGTCTTGGCTAAAACGTTTTAGGTTAAAACGTTTTACAAATGTAATGTAAATCCAGATTTTCTCAAGAGCTCTCGGCTAATAATATAAGCTAAAACGTTTCAGGACCCTAGATTTATATGTCTTTACGATGGAACAAATTCACAAGAACTCGTGTATTTGAAAAAACTAAACTCAGTACGCAAGTAAGAAACTGGATATTGTATCTCTGGAGAAAGAAAAATGGGAAAATTTAGAGTCATAAGAATAAATTAAAGTAGCATGTCTTATCATGTCTTATATACACGTTATCCCCCCTCCATCCTATACCCCCTCCATCCAATATTAATTTATTTCGATTATTTTTTGTATAACGCATGGAAATTAACTTTAAAAAGTGAGCAATGTCATTAGTATTGTGATAATAATGTCCCTTATACCTATTTATTACAGGTCGTGTAGACCATTGTTGCCCGATCTATAGGAAAAACTGACTTTTGCACGTTGTTGATGATGCACCTTTTTTAATAGATCTCATACCTTAGAAGGGTATCAATTCAAAAAAATACTAGATGGCCTAACATATTTTGCCATGAACTGCGCCTATTCATTTGGCAATTCAGTTGTAAATTTTCTCTTGAAAAAATAAATCTTCTAAATTTTTTGAGTTTTCTGCAGAAATCGCCTAATCCCCCTCCATCCATTTTGTACGATCACCGGGCGTGTAATTGGTTGTATCTCATACTTGAGTGGGTTTGGGGTAGATATCACCCGGGAATATATATCGTATCTGAGGAGCGGGCAGGATATATTGTATATGTCCCGCTCCAGGCCAAATGCGGGCAGATATAATATATCCATCCCGCTCCAGGGAATTTTTCAAAAGTTTTAAAAAGTTTAAATATCAAAAGTTTAAATCTTTTATTTACAAAATTTATTTTTTAAGTTTAAATGTTACAATTTCATTGTACATATTGAACAAAAAGAATATTACGAAAATGTTAAATATAAATATCTTGTCATTTGAAAAGGTGGAAAAGGTTATATCTACCCTAAACCCACTCAAGTATGAGATACACCAGTTATGCACGGTCGGTTTGGATAAATGGAATATCCCTTGGGATATACAATACATCTTCCCTCGGTCCCTTCGGTCCCTCGGGAAGATATTTTGTATATCCCTCGGGATATTCCCTGTATCCAAAACCTCCCAGTGCATAACCCCTATATATCTCAAGCCAGGGCTGTTGAAAATTATTCTAATATATATCATTTTATTGCGAATTAAATTAAATCTTTAAAATGATATATCATTGTTGGTGTTTCTGTTAAAAGATAATATTGGCTAGGGGTGTTTTTGGCCCACCCTGTATATTATAAGATATTTTGTAACCATGTATGATATATTGTAATAAAAGTGATACATAGTATACTCGCCTATTTTATTATCATTGTATTTTATACAATTTAAAGGGTCAGTATCTGTATTTCTGATTTTTTTCATTCCTGACATTATTTTAAGAATTAGCTAGACCCACTCTTTCTGTTCTGTAAATATCAATACTTCAATTTATTTCTTGTGTATGTAGAATGGGAAATAATCGCCTATTGACATTACTATGAGATAAATAATCGGACGGTAAAAATGCTACATATTCTGAATAAATTGTGCTACTTTAAATCCATAGGGTGTGTATATTTGAAATTTATTAAATAATAAATATACACGTATTGTATACTTTCAAGATAACACGTTGATATTAATAGGAGCACCAAAGGTTTTCTCTATCAACGTGGAAATAAAAGCAGCTCGTATGATGTACATGTACAGTACTGATTGTATAATCTAGAAAATGTAAATATTATGTCCATATGTTACATGTATATGTAATAAAGAAAATATCATTGAAACTATTAACTTGTAAATGTGCTTTAATTGCATGACTCACATTACAAGATAGCTTTATCAATTTATTGGTGCTTTAGTTTTAGCAATTGAGCCAGGCCACAGGAAAAGGGGTCTTATCACAAATATTTTCAATATTCTGATTTTTTGTTTATCTTAAAAAGCACAAGAAGACCTTCCAAATGAGCCATGGCTTGTGTTTTAACAATTTTCCCTTGCATAATATTATATGGACCAAAAAGTCGGATTTGAATTTAGCATATTTTCATCTTAAGCTTGGGCACATTTTTGGCTCTGTAGCACAATTTTAATTTTTCTGATAAGACCGGTTTTCCTATGGCCAGGCTTAATTATTGATAAGAATCAGTCACAGTAAAGAAAAAGAATTCCCAATATAATTCTGGTTAACGCACAAAGAACAACATCACACACCAACCTTTAAAATGTTATTGTTACAATCCACGATTAATAAGATATTCTATTCATAGTGACCATTATATATGATAGGAAACTGCCTTTTATAAAAACATATGGAAGTCGGAACCTGAAATTACTTATATAAAAATAGAAATAACAACCAGTGGTGAAGCCGTAATATGACGTAACGTTAAGTATAACATAATGAAGTAAAAATATAAAACTCTACCAGAATAACAGGAGCCACCTTTTTAATAAAATAAATCCAACCACAAAATGATTAAAAAACTAACATGGACATCTATCGAGTGTATTCGAAAAAATAAGTCAACTCAGAATACTTGGGTCAGGTCAGAATACTTCGGCAAGAGTCAGAATAGATGGGTAGCCAAGAATACTTGGGCTTTGACATACGTTCGCCAGTAAACTGACATACTCAGGGCAGTCAGATGGGGGGGTGCGATGGGTGCGACCGCACCCCCCTTTGTCACCCCCCAAAAAAAATTTGAAAAAATTTTTTTTTTGAAAAATATTTTTTTTTGTAATTTTTTTTTCATTGACTCATACACTTTGAAAGTACCCAGAAAGCACCAAATAGCATCTTAAAATTATAAAATTTTCTAGGGGTATTAACCACCCGTCACACCCCCCACAAAACAATGGAAAAGTTCTAAATTTATTTTAGAGTTTTGTCTCAGACACTTTTAAAGTGCCCAGATATCATCAAATAGCTCCTTGAAATAGTTAGTGTTTCTGGGGGACTTACTCCCCCTCTTGCATCTTGCACTTGCATAACCCCCCCCCCCCCCTCTGGCACCCCCCCCCCTTGACCCCCCCAAAAAAAAAAATTTTGATTTTCTCAAATTCTTTAATTGACTCATACACTTTGAAAGTGCCCAGAAAGCACCAAATAGCGTCGTAAAATTGTAAAATTTTCTAGGGGTATTAACCACCTGTCACACCCCCCACAAAACAATGGAAAAGTTCTAAATTTATTTTAGAGTTTTGTCTCAGACACTTTTAAAGTGCCCAGATATCATCAAATAGCTCCTTGAAATAGTTAGTTTTTCTGGGGGACTTACTCCCCCTCTTGCATCTTGCACTTGCATAACCCCCCCCCCCCCCCCCCTCCTTGACCCCCCCCCCCAAAAAAAAATTGTGATTTTCTCAAATTCTTTAATTGACTCGTACACTTTGAAAGTGCCCAGAAAGCACCAAATAGCATCGTAAAATTGTAAAATTTTCTAGGGGGAGTGGGCCACCCCTCACACCCCAAACAAAACAATGGAAAAGTTCTGAATTTGTCTTATGTATTGTCTCAGACACTTTTAAATTGCCCAGACATCATCAAATAGCTCCTTGATAAAGTTAATGATTCTGGAAGACTAACACTTACTCGCCCTCTGGCATCCCCACTCCACCTCCCCCTCTGGCAGCCCCCCTCCCTTAACACCCCCCCCAAAAAAATTGAGATTTTTTTTATTGACTCATACCCTCTGAAAGTGCCCAGAAAGCACCAAATAGCATCTTAAAATTGTAAAATTTTCTCGGGAAATAGGCACTTTTAGGCACAGACACTTTTAAAGTGCCCAAACTTCATCGAATACCACCTTGATATTGTAAATTTTGATATGGGGGACCACACTCGCTCCCCCTCTGGCACCCGAGCGCCACCTCCCCTCTGGCACCCCTCCCCCCCCCTTTGACACCCCCCAAATTTGAAAAAAATTGTGATTGTTTTTCAATGTTTTTATTGACTAATACACTTTAAAAGTGCCCAGAAGCACCAAATATCATCTTTAAATTGTAAAATTTTCTAGGAGAGTTAGCCACCCCTCACATCCCCCACAAAACAAAAGAAAATATTCTGAATTTCATGTATTTAAGTGCCCAGACATCATCAAATAGCACCTTGAAATGGTCAATGTTTCTAGGGGACAACCCATTGCTCCCCTACTGGCACCCCACCCCACTTCATCCTCTCATCCTCTTTGACACCCCCAAAAGAATTTGAAAAATTTCACATTTTTCTTATTGATTTACGCACAGGCGTACCAGATGGTTGCAAATTCGCTCCAAATACAACCAAATTTCAAAATTTTCCTGGGGGAGAACCCCCAGACCTCCCTGAATGCTCGGTTTTTTATTTACTCAACTCTTATTCTTGTGGTGGTGGCGTACTACTTAGAAACTTACACTTTGTAAGTGCCCAGAAAGCACCAAATAGCATCTCAAAACTGTAAAATCTTCTCGGGGGAGTGGACCACTCCTCACACCCCCCACAAAACAATTGGAACGTTTGGAAGTTGCCATACATTTGTTAATTCCAAACCAATATAGGGAGTAACTGACCCCCCCCCTCTGTCTTACGCGATTTGATTTACGCGGCAAAAAAATGACAATTTTTTTATTCTCTTTAGTAAGCTAAAAACCGCACCCCCCTTGGAGAAAAGTGTCTTACGGGCCTGATACTGGATACCAGACAACAACAGCGTTTGGAGTGTACGTACTCACCACTTGCTTTGGTATTGAGGTAAGAGGTCTCACTGAAAAAAATGCATTCACTTGCAACTGTTTTGTTACCTTAGCTAGTGTCATTCATCTTCGGCTCCCAAGGCTGTTATAGCAACTGAAACATTGTGCTTCAAGATGATTATCATCAACAGAAAGAGAGCAATATTATAGAGCCTTATCACCCCGCGGTATCCAAACTACGTGCACGCAGTTTGTAACACTAGCCCTATTTACACTACACGCGGCATTCCAAGACGTCTTGGCTAAAACGTTTTAGAAAAATTATGTTGAGTTTACACCAACATTTTCAAGACGTCTTACGAAATATGATTGAGTTTACACCTGTTTTTTCTAAAACGTCTCAGAGATATGTAGGTATACATGTAAAATGAAAAAAGCAGTTCAGTACTGGTTGAAGGACGGTTCAATATAGCTATTCCTTTCCCGCTTCTATACTTTGTACTAAAAATGCATCGGTTCCATCTGTTCTTCTGTTCTTTTTTTTCAATTAAATTCACATTTCTTCTGGTTTATAAGTAAAACATGATTGTTGAAAATCTAATTAGCCATGAAATGTATACGCCCCGTGGGGTGTCTTTTTCATGTATTGTATGAAACATTGTATGACTGATATTTAATTTAATAAATTTAATTGAATTGAAATTGGTTTTAACGCTAAGACGTCTTGGCTATGACTAGGGTCCTAAAACGTTTTAGCTAACCGCTCTTAGCCGAGAGCTCTTGAGAAAATCTGGATTTACTTTACATTTGTAAAACGTTTTAACGCTAAAACGTTATAGCCAAGACGTCTTAGGGCTGTATATATCTAGTGTAAACCCAACAACTGACAAACTGCCCGCATTTCAACATTGCAGCATACAAGTAATTTCAAACGTCATTCTAAGACATTTATTCTGCATTGTTTTATAGTTCCATACTCCATTCGGTGGGGATTATATGATTCTAAAAAAATTGTCATCGGTTTTTCGATTACTGACACATAAGTTAAGATGTCGCACTTTTCACAGAAATAGAAAATACTATATTACTTAAACTATATGCAGTAATCCTGTATCTTTCAGTATATGCAAACACAAGGGCTGAATTAACTTCAAACTACGTCAAACAGACATTATATGACACAACACTGTATATTTTGACCACAAAGCTCCTTAGGAACCTTATATTGAGATAACTAGGAATTACATCAGGAAAAAAATCGAATGCTACTTGTAAAGTAAGCTAGTCTCCACATAATGGTAATGTCTGATCAACAAAACTAACCTTGTATTTCCAGTACTTTTCATCCTTATGGGAGTCGTGTCCTCCCCGTCTGCCATTTTTAAATATGCGTGCAGTTTGTCAGGGTTTCAGATTGCGTGGTATGCACGCAGTTTGGGTACCGCACCGTGCTTATAGTGGTCTCGATTTACATCTATTTTGTAGGCCACAACTGCCATCTTTCTATCAACCTCATCATGAGAATCATGGCCTTCTATTTGCTTCACACTAGTATATACAAATTTCTGGTTAGACAGAAAGATGTGATGACTATCAGAATGTATCAACCTAGTCTATTTAATTAACTGTAAATGTTAGTATAAGATTGTGGATATAATTTCTTATGTCATTAGAATGACTACAATTATTAACATGTATAGTATCTACATGCAATAGCAAATTATTTGTAGCATTTATTGTGCTGAACCCCAAATGCGACTATATCTTATTTCCCAGATTACCCATGCTGAATTCTTTTAAGATAGTTGACTATGGAGTATTATTCTAATCGACTATCCGGCGTATTATCCTTTTTATTTACACATACAGTAGAACCTGCTAAGTGGAACACCCCTGTAAGTGGAACAGTGCTTTTAAAGTCCAACAGCGGCCACATGGTCTATCTACTGGCCTCTACTCCATGTTGATGATCCTCTGTACGTGGAACACCTCCTAAAGTCCTAAGTGGAACACCTTTTTTGTGGTCCCAGGTCAAAGGTTCTACTGTACATGTAAAAGTGTACTACTGTATAGGTTCAGCGTCCACGTATCACCAGCATCTGGGATAGCGATTCACACCTTGCAAAATGTAAGGTCTAGTTCTAAATAATTTAAAAATGTTTTTCAGGCGGTGATTATTCAGAGACAAAGTCGAGATAATAAAATGTCTCATTCTCCTCTATCCACGGCACACAAAGATGCGCTCAGATCATGTCGTGTTCTCTTTGAGGACAATCTTAATGTTGATGATATATTAGGACAATGTCTCCAAGATGAAGTCATATCTATCAGAATGAAGGCCAGGATTGAGGCTAAACCAACTCCACATGAAAAATGCAGTGAATTTCTTGATATTCTACAGAAACGCGGAAAACAAGCATTCGATGACTTTATTGCTGCACTTAAAGTGGACTATGCGTTTCTTGCGCGTTCCCTTGAAAAAGAACTGCGCGTTCAAGCTCTAGCATGTGCAAAATCTGGTTTAGTCGATGCAAACGTTATTATTCAGGAAGGCAGAGACAACCTAAAGGAGAATGAAACATGTCGAGGAGCCGTAGAAAACATTGATGACCTCCTCACAAAACTGTCAAAAACTATTTGTTTTACAAGGCCAGTTTCGTTAGGAATTCAAAATAAAGTTACACCATTTTCTGCAACATTGTCTGATGCTCACAAGTTTACTTTAAGATCCCATCGTGATCGCCTTGAGGAAAATCTGAACATTGAAGATATTTTGCCAAAATGCATCCGCGATGGGGTTATAACCCAGCGGCTGAAAGCAATCATTTTATCACACGCAACACCCCATGAGAAATGCAGTGCGTTTTTGGATATTTTAGAAACACGTGGAAAACAGGACTTTGACAGTTTCGTATCTTCCCTTCATGACGACTACCCATTTTTGGAGCTTCCTATAAAGAAAGAGCTCCGTGCAAAGGCACTTGATATTGCTACTGATGCTATCGCAAACGCCAATGACATTTTCGATCGTGAAGTCCCATCTGATGAGAAACAATCAACCAAAGAGGCTTTAGAGAGCTTAGAAACTCTTATATCCCAACTAAAAGAAACCATTGGCATTCAAGAGGAGTTTGTTGATTCTACACCATCTGTTTCATCAGAACCATCCCCCATGATGGTCACTTCATCGGTATCTGTCAAATCCATTGTGTCCAAGATGTCCGCTTTGGAAAGTCCATCAATGAGTCTGACGCCGTCTCCAGTACCACACGCAGCGAGATCCATGATCAGTGTTACAAAGCCGGAATCTTCTATTGTCAAACAAACGCCTCTTAAGCCTACGCTCGATGTTCCTCTTACCCTCAATCAAACCCCCTTGTTCAGAGATCCCCAAACAGAACCGTGTAGGACAGAATCTCCTTATAATGTTAGAGCACAATTGCCACCTAATAGTGATTCTCCCTCAGCCTCACAGAACCCTCCTACAGCAGGACCGTCGTTAGACGTTAAATCTCAACGCACACTGCAACAACCCTCTACTAGTCATCAATCAGCTACTTCAACCAGTCTGGTAAAACAACTTAAAACACTGAAACTGTCGCCTTGTAATCTTAGTCTTACATTAGCTCGTAAGATCGAGCTACCCTTTGGCTGTTATGGTCTTTGTAGTAGTCCTATGGGAGCCATCATCGCAGCAATAAATGAGCATGGTATATTTGTATATAAGGGTTATAATTTAACACATCAATTCCCCCCTAAATTATCCAAGGTCAAATCACTTTTTAAGTCGAAAGTCTTGAAGGATCCAACTGATGTAGTTTGTCTCCCTACTGACGAGATAGTGGTGAGTTCATTACCTAATAACTGGGTGAAAGTGTTTGACATGGAGGGGAATTACAAGCGACAGATATGTAAAGATGTTAATCAACCATTCGGACTCGCATTCCACCCACAATTAGGTATTGTAGTTATTGGTAGTGACCCCGAGTGTATCAACATATGCTCTATCAGTGGTCAGGTACTCAGAACCATCACAAATGAATCATTCAATGATCTGCGTAGAGTTGCCATCAATCCATACAATAAAACATTGTTGGTGACTGACTTCACCACCAACACTCTTCACTGTCTGGACTGGGAGGGAAACGAAGTATTTGCATACAAAGTAGATGGTGATGATGGACTTGATGAACCATTGGGTATTTGTTGCACTGAGAAACATTTACTATTAGTGGACCAAGGAAACCACAGGGTGTTGTTATTATCTCATGATGGGGACTTGCTGAAGGTTCTTCTCACTAAGGAGGATGGTCTGCAGTTCCCTCATGAGGTGATGGTAGATAGTAGTGGGAACATAGTAGTAGGAGAGAGTCATGATGCTGCAGAGAGGAAGAATCTTCTGTTTGTGTACAAAGTAGATGACTAGTTATATATGAATCATAGAAAATTCATAAATAAGTAAAAGTACCCCTTGGTAAAATATGAAATATATTAGTCATCTATTATATGTGTACATGTATGTGATAGGTTAACTTCCAATCATAGAAAGTTCATAAATAAGTAAAACGAACCCCTAGTGAATTATGAATGTATTAGTCATCTATTATACTTGTATGTGACAGGGTCATTTCAAATTCCATCTGATAACATTGCATTGCATTGCAACATGGCATTGCTAAATAAGGGATATTGTAGTTGATTATAGTTTTTTAGTTCCTAGAAGTCCTTCAAATGCAAAGGCGAATAATATTTTTGTGTTTCTTATCGGGACTGTATCAGCTAAGTTCATAATCACTTACTTAAAAAGATGCTCGGGTAACTTTGAAATTGGTAGGTAAGTTTTATTTATCTCCTGAGCATATCTTTAATGCACGTCGTGTATGTAAAATTGCACATATTTGTATTCCAAACCTACTGAGGTTCTATACATGAGTGTGGAAATCTCACAAACTTTAGTAGTTTTGAAGACAAAGAAAATGCGTACCTGAAGTACATTTTTGAATTTTGGAACTTAATGAGGTATGATGTATACAGACAACAGGGCCCTCAGTAGGTGTCGAATACATTTGTTATGTACGGTCGGTTTTGGATAGAGTTTATCGCTAGGGAAGTATGCGTATATCTCTCGGGAGATACATGCACAAATATCTCCTTTGTGATTAAACCCTGTATCCAAAACCTCTCGGTACATAACCAATATTTATCCTATGCCAAGTCGGGTTTTAGGGAGATAAGTTGGTAAGATATATCCCGTATCCTGATTTTGAGGTTTCCATATCCAGAACCTCCATATCTCCCGCCATATCTCCCGCTTCGGTGCATATCTTCCCGCTTCCGGTAATGCAATAAAATGACTTTGCATATGAATGATTTGTTTATTTTTACACCTTGTACTATTGAAATGGCCATATGCCCCTGAAAACTCTTCTTGGTATAGGATAAAGCAGTTATGTACGATCGGTTTGGATATTGGGTTCATCCCTCGTGAGATATGCACATCTACCTTCGGTCCCTACGGTCCCTCAGGTAGATATGCATATCTCCCTCTGGATAAACCCCATATCCAAAACCTCCCAGTACATAACCCTTATGTATATAGTCTATATCGGGCTAATAAATGAGATACATTTTAAAGTGAAGTGGCAATATTTTTTGCAAAATGAACATCACTGTAAAAAATCCATTTAAATCCATTTTCTATGACAACTGGTACAGGAAAGTAAATAAAAGTTACTGTAAAAACATGAGCTGACAATGGACATTGGTCAACAAAAATCCAATACTGGTATCACCTGTATTTGTAAAAACTATATATAAACTACAGACGTTACCAATTATTAGACATACAACAGTAACACTGTTATCATCATGATAATCCATGACGTCTCATTTCTTCTCAGCCCTGGTGAAACAGAAAGATGCTATGAGTATCAGAATGCTGTTATACATGAAACCATGTACTGAACATATGCCATAATGATTTAATCTGTGTAAAACCAGAATTGGCACCACTGTTTTTAGTTATTCCATGCATTAAAGGCTGTGATATCATCATCAAGCTGGGTATTCCAACAGCATCAAGCTGGGTATTCCAAGGCTACAAAGATTTATAGGCATTAAGGGATATCACCTTGATTTTTACTTTTTAAAAGGAGCTCTATATAAATACCCTTTATGTATATTCATCTCAAACTCAAATTTCATATTAATTTTAGGTATAATCAGGGAGATATCTTTACTCCAATATGATTTCTCTTGATATCATGTATATGCTCTTCTTGATAAAAATGATATCATTCAAAATCATAGGATATCAGTATCATATATGTGACCAATATTTACAAAGATCAATTTTGTCAAAACACATACTTTAGAAAGTAATAAAAAATATATATTTATTCTGTATTTCTCTCAATCTGTGTTTATTATAAGAACAACATTTATCATGATTAGTACACAGTTTCTTGAAATACCAAATGAATCTTATTGAAAAGAATAAACATGTCATTTTGTAAATGTCATCAGAAACGTTTTGTTTTAATTGCTCTGCGAGTACAAATATGGTCCTGGTAAAGTTTAGCCTTTGAGAGATAACATCTGTCTTCAGTGAATGCACCTCAAATAACAATAGAAACTGAACAGAATAAGCAGAATTATCATTGCTATTAGAAACGTTTTAAGTTGCAGTGAACGTATTAATAATTTAATATGGTCCCGGTACGGTTAAACCTTTGAGAGATAAGATCTGTCTTCAGTGAATACACTTCAAATAACTATATACATGTAGAAACTGATTGAACAGAATAAAGGGTTTTACTGTACTTATCCAGGGACAAACCTGAATAAGTACAGTAAAACCTACAAAACATTAAAATTACATTCACTCTCACTGGTTTTACTGTACCAGGACCATATTAAATTATCAATACTTTCAGTGCAACTTAAAACGTTTCTAATAGCATTTATAATTCTGCTCCACACTGATAATTTTTAACTAAAACTACTTCCAGGCAAAAAAACGATTCATGTTTGTAATGAAGAAACCAGTTGCTGGTGTCATTAAAATGTTGATTTCTGGGGCATGTTATCGAGCCATTTCTTTATTTTTATGAAAGACGAAAAGGCACAAGCATAGATTTAGCATTAAAAGAATACTGTGGAATCGTCTGATAATTCGATAATTTAAGGCAGTATTCCATCCGGATTCAGTCCATACTTCCTTTTTGGCTATTCACTATTACTTAAGAGTTTCTCGAATAATCATCTAGCCTATATGATCGTTATCTCTTCTATATCAGAGTTATTTTTAGTTTTCCTCTGATGAATTGTCTGTTTTTGCTTTCTTTGATGTCGGAGTGTCTTCATTGTCGTCTGCTTTTCGTTTTCTATTAATAGATGGAACTGGTGTGCTGTCACCATCAAACATGATATGGTTTCAAGATTATGCACAGAAAAATGTATAACTATGAAATGCACTCGGGGACTTTTAATCACCCAGAAAGTTGAGTGACAATTGACCTGATCATCTACCTTAATCGACCTCATTCTTGGTGAAAATGATGAAAATAACAATTTCCTCTGACGAAAGTGCATCCATTTTGTTAACGTCTTTATAACCATGTGGGGACCAGTGATGAGGACATCTATGTGCCATACATGTTCAAGTTGCAAACTAGGGCCAACTAGTGCTATGTAATGAATATCTTTTCCTATACAATGATCAAGTGTCGAGGAGTTGCCTAATAATAACATTGTTGTGATAGGATATGCATGCTGTACAAATGATGTCAAAACATTTAGTCAAATCTGAGGGTGACATTTGTTAAAAAATCTGTCTAGATTGTTTCACTTTCTTCACTGTGCTCTCATTTTTGCAATATTCAATCAACATTTTGTATCAATAGTCAGCTTAGTGAAAACACACAGTTATCTGTTATAAGAAACAGTAGAACAGGGACATAGAAAAATGTTAAAATAAAATCAGTTAATAATTTTGTAATTCATCTATAGAAACGCAAACTATGTCATGGTGAACTTTTTTTAACACAATGAAAGCATTTCTTTATTTGACGACGCTTTCATATTTTTATACATACAAACTTACGTTTCTTGAGTCACGTATCCACTGGTGATCCGCTCGATTACCCTGGTTACCGAAACGGTTCGTTTTGGTAACAAAATGTCGGAACGTCGATGGTACGATTTTTCTTTTTTCCTTATTTCACGCGTTGTAGGCAGAATCCCCACGACGTTTTTTCTCACAAACGTATATCAGTATCATATGTTTCAGAAAATGTATATGTATAGGGTGTCTCAAAAAAAATGTACCCAAAAGTATATCAACAGCACAGATAAACCATTCAATATTTTTAGACATTTTTTGCATGGTCATGTAGCCAAAACATGAAAAAAATTTCCCCAATACATCATTTTTACTTCAGTCTTGCCTTTTTGATGCTTTAACCCTTTACCTTTTAATCCACATTTTCAATGTAACCTGATATTTCGATGACAACCTGTCTCCTTACTGCTACATTGTTCATCACATTTGATAATAATTCCAGTGGAATGTTTTGGATTTCTCTTTGGAT